TACTAAATTCAAGCTACCTTTCAACCACATAGCAGGTTTATGCAAAGAAAAATCTTAGAAATCATGAAAAATGAATAAATGAACTTAATTTCCTAAGACTCAAAAAAAAAATTGAAGAAAATATCTGAACTCACAAGGCATCTCACCCTCTTGAACTGAGGACTGGAAAGGAGAACCAAAACGTTAGGCTAACGTAACACCAAGGCAAACACAGCTAGGCAGACTCCCTATTCACTACACTGCTTATTGTTGTTTTACTCAAGTTTTTTTCTTTTAATATTTTTTTGGTTGTCAACGGACCTTTATTTTATCTATTTATATACGGTGCTGAGAATCCAGCCCGGTGCCTCACAGATGCTCTGCCACTGAGCCACAACCTTATTCAAAAAAAATTTTTTTAATATTTATTCTGAAATTTTAGGTAGACATAATATCTTTATTTTACACTTATGTGGTGCTGAGGCTCGAACCTGGTACCTCGTTCATGCTAGGTGAGCACTCTACTACTGAGCCATAACCCTAGCCACCATCATTAGTTTTTAACAGAAGAAGAAAAAATAATTTACTGAATTTGATTTTAAATCTGAATTTAATTCTAAAAGCTCCTTTCAGTCATAATATGTGCATTATTATTAGAAAATATTATTTTTGCTACTGGGGATTGAACCCAGGGGTATTTATCACTGAGCTAAATCTCTAGCCCTTTTTCTTTTTTAATTTTGAGACAGGGTCTCCCCTAAGTTGCCCCAGCTACCCTCATACTTGTGACCTCCCTGCTGAGCCTCCTGAGTAGCTGAGATTATAGATGAGTACCACCATGCCTGGTTTAGAATTGTACATTATTAAGAACTTTTAAAAACACGTACCTTTTAAAAACATTTAAAACTGCCACCTTTGCATTACTATAGCTTAAGCATATTGCTTCTCAGTGCTCAGGTAGCTGCAGTTGCCCCATATATTAAATTATATAACCCACTCCTATTTCTCACTGAAAAGAAAATGAAGCATAGGATGTGCAATCATCTAATGTTAGACAACCCTGTTACTTGGGCCCTGCCACTCTCTTAGGTTTTTGGCATTTCACCTGTGAATCCCACTTCACGGGGATTTGGTAAGGAAAAATGAGATAGTAAGGGCAGGAATAAGCACAATGCTTAGCATATGGTAAGCACCCAATAAATGCAACTGTTTTCATTACTGTATTTAGGGACAGAAAGGTGGTCCTAGAAAAAAGGGGAGGGGAGGGCCCCCAAGCAACTCACGTGGGCACCTGGGTGCCAGCGAAATTGGCGCTGAGTCCCAAGGATGTTGCCAGCATGAACATAGTGACCTAGAAGAGAAGTCCACAAGTGTGCTCTCAGCCCCAGCGATATGACAGCACAGCAAACTTCTAGGAAAACATGTTGGCTGGCCCAAGTGCTGCATACCAACCTCTAAGCATGTCCCTCAACAGAAACAACTGCCAAATGGTCCAAACAGTGCCCAATCCCCTACCCAGCAGCCTCTTCACTCTAGTTTCATTGCTAAAGTTCACACTTACTCGTCTTCAAGATACTTCAGCCCTAAACTGAAGTATGGAAGCTAAAACACATTCTCACCTTCCATTTTCTTGATGCCATAATGTTTGCCTCGTGACTTTCCACCAAGGTTTTTGGAGCTACCACCGGTCTTCTTAGATGCATTTCTGACAGCAAGAGTTATAGCTGGAGGAGGGCTCAACAGGGCTGTAACTGCAGAGAAAACAGAAACACTGTTAGATCTTTCTCTGCCTCCATGGCCCATTTGCTAAGCTAAAAGGTGACAGGGGAAATAAGAAAGATGTGTGAGGGGAACAGAAATGCTAAGTGTTAGATTTCAAGGAATTCCTGGAAGTCCTTTGGTCTTCTCCCATAACAGGGGACCATTCATTTCTTGTACTGTCTGGAGATTAAGTGCTGCCTGAGGTAGGGGCATAGGAGTGTATGTGTGTGCATGTACGCACTGGGAAGTGGGGTGTACAGATGTGGGGAGAATAGGAAAATATAAATGGGGGGAAAAAAATCACATGTTCTGAATCCTGGCCATTCAGTCCTACTGAAAAAAACAAAGAAGCCGGCAAGAGGACACCACAGCACTGCCTGTTTCAGAGCCTCACTCACCCTCACACCCCATGGAGAGGCACAGCCAACCCAGACAGGCCAACAACAGGACACCCAGAGCGGCCTCAGCTGCAGCTCCCCCACCCTTTTGAAGCTATCCATTCACCCACTGCAACCAGATACCTGCATACAAAAAGCGCAACTGGTGGAGCATGGCTTCCACAGGCTTCTGGACATTTTAGCAAGTTGTTCCCTTTCTTTCCAAAGTACATCAAACAGAAGTCCAACCAAATTCAATACAATGTAAGAAGTTAATCTGACCTCATCCTAAAGTGCTCAAAGGCATTTATTTTAAATTAATAAGAACAAATGCAAGGCCAAGAAGGTAGGGCATTTATTTTTAAAAAGACAATGAATTCAAACTCATACTAACATGGAAGCCTCTTGCTGTAAGACAAACCTAGGAACAGCAATCCTAGCTTTCAGATCTCCAGACTCAGTCGTGGTTTGAGTACTACGCAAACATCTGTAGGGAAGTTTTTTGAGTGTCTGCAGCCTCTTTATTCAGCATTTTGGAAGCCTAGCTTTCTGAAGTTTTCATGAGAACAGAAACTAGCTCGAACAAAGGAGCACGAATAAGAATTAACAGAAAAGCCAGGGAGAGTTGTGCAGGCCTGTGATCCCAGCAACTGAAGGGACTGAGACAGGAGAATCCCAAGTTTGATTTGGTAAGGAGAAATGAGATAGTAAAGGCCAGCCCTTTTTATTTATAGATAGGGTCTTAGTAAGTTGCTAAGGCTGACCTGGAAACGACTGGTCAGCCTCAGCCTCCCTAGGATTACAGGCGTGTGCAACCTTGCCCCGCCTCCTTTTGTTCTTTAGGTCTAAACCTCAGAGGTTTCCTTAGAGGACTTTCCTGACAATTCAATCTAAAAGAGGATGCACATATTCTCTTTCTTCATGGCACTTGTAAAAATCAACTATTTTACTGATATATGCTTACTGATCCATCTACTAGCAAGAACTGCCCAGCGGCTAGAGACCATGTCTTCATATTTTCTTCTGATATTCTTAACACTCACCAGTGTCTGGCACAGAGAACGACCTAAATCTGTTGAACAAATGGATTAACTTTGTTTGAACTCAGTCCTTTCCATGGATAAAAGGATCCACACAAACCAAGAGAGGGGAAGCGGTGTGCCTGCGTCACCAACCGCCAAGGAAGTCCTCTCTCGGTGTTCCAGATAGAGGAAGGACACGTGCTTCCCCAACCTTCCCCGCCCCGCGCAGGAGCGCCCAAGACCTGTCACGTGATCAATGGCAGCAACCCCCTCAACCCTCGCACGACCCCAACGCATCCAAGGCCACCCTCGGGGGCAGTTTCCAAATCCCGGCCTCCCTCCCGGTTCGACTACAGCACCCCACTTACCAGTTGCCCGCGTCCTCAGCGCCAGAAGCGCCGACGCCATGATTGCCTCACAATCGCTTCCGGTCTTGGAAATCTGCTTCCGCTACCGGGAGATTTATTTCCGGGTTATACGTGCCAGTTGAAAGAGTGGCGCGGGAAGTTGCAGGTGAGCTCTGCGGGATATGGACCTTCCGCGGTGAAGGCTGCGGGCCTGGGCACGACTGCAGAGGGGTTGGTGGCCAGGGCGTGCGGGAAGTTCTGCAGCGGACCGCCGGCCTCCGCGGTGCGGAGCTTGACCCACAGGGGTCCGCCTGTCCCACTCCGTCATTTGGCAGGAGAACTGAGACCCAGGACCCCTCCCTAGTAATATTAAACTTACTTAGTAAAAAAAAAAATGCTAGATGGTGCTAAGCGTGGTAAATACATTATTTCATTTAATTATTTCAAGCCATATTATACTGAAAAAGAAAAATGAGACCCAGGAAGATTACAGGGGTTATTTAGGTCCATACACAGTATTTGTTCTAAGAATGATTCTTGCCTATGACCCAGCAGTTCCAGTCCTAAGTATATACACAAGAGAATTGTGAAAATAAACCCACACAAACTTTGTATGTGAATGTTCACAATAACATTATTCATGATAGTAAATAAAAGGAAAGGAATTAAATGTACATCGAGGGATGAATGGATAAACAAAAGGTGGCATAGTCATACAGTGGAATATTACATGAAGCTAAGTGAAAGAAGCAAGTCATAAAAGGCCACATATTGTACAATTCCATTTGTAGGAAATATCCAGAATAGGCAAATTTATAGAAGCATTTTTGGTTGTCAAGGCAGTGACTTTTTTTTGCTTTACTAGAGATTGAACCAGGGGTGTGCACATGTAGACTAGTGCTGTACCCAGCTTTTTTATTTAATTTTGAGGTGAGGTCTCTCTGAGCTGGCCTCAACTTGGGATCCTCTAGTTTCATCCTCCCAAAGTTGCTGGAGATATAGTATTCACACCACACTTGGCTAAGGTGATGACTTCTTAATGGTTATAAAATTTCTTTTTGCGGTGATAAAAATGTTCTGGAATTAGATAGTGGTGATGGTTACATAACATTGAATGTATGAAAACCACTAAAGTGTGCATTTTATTTATTTTTGCAATACTGGGGATGAAAACCAGGGCCTTGTGCATACTAAGCAAGCACCCTACGACTGAGCTACTCCCCCTAAACTGAAATTTTTTCTTTTTTTTGATGGTACTTGGAATTGAATTCAGGGTGGACTCTATCACTGACCTACAAGCTTGACCTTTTTTTTCTTTTGAGACAGGGTCTTGCTAAATTGCCATGACTGGCCTCCAACTTGTAATCCTCCTGCCTCAGCCTCTTGAGTTGCTGGTATTACAGGCGTGCACCACCATACCTGGCTCATTTATTTTCATGAAGCTTGGTGATAAGAACATGTCTAGTGAACTGAATTGACACTACCATTTATGTCTTTTCCTTTTAGGCAATTAATTTGAAAGCACATATTGGTGGCTGTAATGAAGTCATTAGAATCCAGTGAGAGTGATTCCGAGGAGTTGCCAACTTTTTCCTTTCTGAAGAAGGAACCATCTTCAACAGAGAGGAGGCAGCCTCAAAGGGCAGAGAAGATTGTAGTGATTGACTCCTCAGATTCTGAGGCCTCCTGTCCTTTATCACCAGGATTGAAAGATCCACCACCTGTCTCAGACACTGATGAAACTCTCACACAAACAAAACCAGTCGGAGTACTAAGTAGTGGAAGTGAGAGCGAAGAGGAATTTGTTCCCCTAGCTGAGAGGCTTAAGTGTAAGTTTTTGACCTACAAGCAGTTGAACTCTGAACACTCTAGTTCCCCAGTTAAAAGTGTTTTGAATCATCAAAATAATGAAGAAGCATCAAGTGACTGGAAAAAACAGCCCTTTTCAAAGATCCCTGACGTTTCCCTCCATGTTACCTTAAAGAGGAGTGTACTAGGTAACCAGGACCCTGTCTTAGACAATCCATGCATTCAGCCTCCAGCCTACCAGTTTACCCACCTTGTTCAGAACAATAGCCTGGAAGTAACCAAAACAAATTCTGATGTCCCCCAGCCCCAGAAGAGAACCAAGCACAGGAAGAATGTTCCAAGAAGAGACTTGCAGAGATGCCAGCTGCAGGAAAAAGCAGGCCAGAAGGAAAGCACCCCAAGACAACAGGAAAAAAAGAAGGCAACGCTGGTCAACAGGCTGAAAGCCCAGAGGCCAGAGGAATGCTTAAAGCACATCGTTGTGGTGCTGGATCCAGGTTCTCCTAGCATCTGTCTTCACCCTGAGCTGAACTGTCTGCTTTCAGGACCACCCACTGATAGGCTCTTTCCCATCTGTTGCAGTGCTTTTACAGATGGAAGGTGGGGGCCAGCTCCTGGGAGCTCTGCAGTCCATGGAGTGCTGCTGTGCAATTGAAGCACAGGCTGTGCCTTGCAGTATCACTTGGAGGAGACGGGCAGGATTGGCTGAGGTAGGGGTCTTCTGGCTAATGGCTCTTCTCCCCTTCTACCTTTTAGGATTACAGGGTAAATAATGCTTTTATTTTAAAGGGTATACATCATTTAGGGCTGCTTCAGGAAAGCAGATGGCATACTCAGTTTAGGATAATTTGAGGAGGATTTAATAAAGAGATCGCTTCCCAAGGCGTGGGCAGGGAACAAGGAAACTACAAGGGACAGCACAGCAGCTCAGGGTCTTGCTAGCATAATTCCTGGCTTCTCCACCTCAGTAAGGTTGACATTTTGGATCTGATAATTCTCTGTAGGATGGGGGCTGTACACTGAAGAATTTTTAGCAGCATCCTTGGCCTCCACCCACTAGATGCCAATAACACCCCTCCCAGTTGTAACAATTAGAAAATGTCCTTTGTGGGAAAAATCGTTCTGGTTTAGAGGCATTGGCATAGCAGTTACAATCCCTGAGCCTGAGGGATGAGAGGAGAAAGTGGTTAGCAGAATTTTGAAGACATAAAGCCAGGTGAGGTGGTGCATGCCTGTTATCCCAGCAACTAGGGAGTCTGAGACAAGAGGATCACAAGTTCAAGGCCAGCCTCAGCAACTTAGCAAGGGCTTATGCAACTTAGACTCTATTGTGGGGGGGGAAAAAGTGACTGGAGATGTAGCTCAGTCATAAAGTGCCCCTAAGTTCAATCCCCAATACCTACCCCAAGAAAACCCTCAAGAGAAATAGAGAGAAGGCCACCTTCAGAGAAACTATGTCCTCTCCTGAAGAAGTGTAGCAAATGCCAAAGGACTCCACTGGGAGGGAACCAGGGAAAGAAATACCCTGAGTTCACACTCTTCTTCCTTTCCAGTCCCCTATTTGGGTTCCCACCTGGGAGCCTGTGAACACGAGGACCTTGTGGTGTCTGTAGAGATCACCTCCTTAGGCAGAGTGGGGCAAGGGAAGATAATCCACATAGGATTCTTAATTCTCTAACTGGGCTTTGGGAAAGGGGCCTGTCTTTGAATCCCAACTTCCTGGTTTTATTGCTGCTACTCTGGGTAAGTTATTTGGGTTACGCATATTTTTGTGCCTCGGTGACCTCATGTGTAAAATGAGGACACTGTTACATCACTTTAGTCCTCCTGTTGTGGGAATTCGGATTACCCAGCACCAGCATTTTGTAGACTTCAGTGTATGTCCCTCCCCACTGAGGATCCCTAGGTTACTATACTTTACCTGTCATGCCTCATGTCTGAGTATGTGCATCCCAGTCCTCCACCCATCATTTTCAAGAGTTTAGAGACGAAACAAGATTTTTTTCCCCCCTCTCTTTCTGGATCTCGTAACTTTCTCAGTAATTGAGAACAATAACCCATGCTTTTTATTTGAAGGTATTAGCAAACCCTTGTATTTGTCTAGCACTTTATCCTTTCTAGGCATTCCCGTATCCTCTCTTTGTCTCAGTCTCAGTTATCCTATAAAGTAGGAATTTTCTGCACACCACAGGTTGGGAAACAGGCTCAGAGAATTTAAAAGCCTAGTTCAGAACCACAGCCAGAACTAGAACCCAGAGCTACTGCCATCTACACTTTGCCATCTGAGGGGTCTTGCTTTTGCTTTTAGGGACCCAATCAGAAACCTTTCTGCAAAATTCCTGCTCTGCAGTCTCGCAGTCTCTCCGTTATACTGTTTTGCTGTTGGATTGTTGGCCCTGAAGCAGCCTCAGCTTTGACTGCGTCCTTGCTATTATGAAGAGGAGTTATTCTCACAGAGGTTCCTCTTGTGATTTTTTTCACCCACAACCTGTGTTTATAAGGGCCATTCAACTCTTAGCCTCTACCTTCAAAGTGCAGTCGTGTATTTGTTTCCTCTATTCCCCTATTCAGAATGCACACAAAAAATTGGCAGTTGCTTCTCAGCCCCTTTAAATGTGCCAATTTTCCCGTTTCTTCCTCCTCCTCCTCCTTCTCCTCCTCCTCCTTTCCCTCCTCCTCCTCCTCCTCCTCTTCTACTTCTTTTTTGGGGTTTGCTTTCTTTTTTCTTTTTGTAGGGCAGGTTATGATCCACTGAGCTGCACCCCAGTGCTTCCTTTCTTATTCAGTGTTTCAGAAGTGCAGTGCACCAAGGTTAAAGAATTGAGGGCTAGGGAGGAACAGGATCACTAGTGTTGTTCCTTGCCACCTTGACTTCAGTCAAGAAGAAAAAGTTTGGGTGTGGTAGCACATGGTTGTAATACCAACTACTTAGAGGGTGAGGCAGGAGGATTGCAAGTGTGATCCTCCTGCCTTGACAACTTAGCAAAACCCTGCCTCAAAATAAAAAAATAAAATAAGCTGGGTGTGGAGTGTTCATACCTGTAATCTCAGCAATATGAAAGGCTAAGGTAGAAGGATGGCTTCAGCAACTTAGCAAGGCCCTAAGCAACTTAGTCAGACCCTATCCTCAAAGTAAAAAATAAAGAGGGTAGGAATGTGGCTCAGCAGTAAAGCGACCCTGTGGAGGATATAACTCAGTGGCAGAGCACTTGCTAGCATGTCTGAAGCCCTGAGTTTGATACCCAGCACTGAAAAAAAGGTGGGGGCATGCCTAGGGTTTAATCCCCAGTACCCAAAACTAAAACTAAAATAAATTAATAGAGGGCTGGGGATGTGGCTCATAATAAAGCCTTCTGAATTTAATCCTCAGTACTCGGTTGGTGGGGGGGGTTTGAAAAGGAAGCTGGGCACAGTGGCACATACTTGTAATCTCAGCTTCTTGCAAGGTTGAGAGGCTAAGGCAGGAGTATCACAAGTTCTAGTCCACCCTGGGTAACTTAGTGAGACCTTGTCTCAAAATAAAATAATAAAAGAACTGGGAATGTAGCTCAGTGGTAGAGCGCTTTCCTAGCATGGGTTTAATCCCAAGAACCACAAAAAAAGGGGGAGTGAGGGGAGAAGGAAACAGCACAAGGGGCAGGGAATTCATTCACCTGGAAGACCTGGGTCACTCATGGGGCCCCACACCTGCTGATCTCCCTCTCTGTCTTGTGTTCTGGGCCCTTTGGCAGGATGAAGAGGACTGGGTGGAGGAGCAGACAGTCCTTGTGTTACTCCTGGCAGAAGCTTTTATGTCCATGATCTGCAACTTTAAGCAGGTGGGTAGGGCCAGAGGAGTGGGACTGAGGCATGGAACAGAGCAGCCCTCTTACCAGGTGGGAATGTTAATGCACCTGGTAACGCCCCTGCCCCTTCACACAGGGAAGTCCAGGCAGTGCCAGAAAAGGGAAGGACACACTTCAAGGCTTTGTAACTGATGTCACAGCAAAGACAGCAGGGAAAGCTGTATCGTTGGTGATTGTGGATCATGAGAAATGCTTCAGGTTTGGATTTTCCCTGGAGACTTAGTGTTAAATAAGGCAGCTCTTGGGCCAACAAGGGTGAGTTTCTTCACTCCATCTATAAATCACTGCAAGATGATGTCCCTGGAAGCCCTGTGGGATGTCCTGGTCCACTTTTCTTACACTCCTCTGCCTGCGTGCAGTCTGGAGGTGCTGTCCTTTACTTTGCTCCCCTGCTCCAGGGCTCAGAATCCTCCAAGGAGAAGGAAACAGGGAGCGTCAAGTAAACAGGCCAAGGAGAAGCAGCAGAGACGAGAGCCCAGCACAGGGCCTGTGGTGTCCAGGGTAGAAGTGGAAGAGGTAAGAACTTCCTGTTCATATGGATGCTCACTATTCACGTAATCCAGTTTGCTAGAGAATAAACTACCCACTAGACACTGCTTTCTATACTGGCCTGAGTAGGAGAGAAGGGATCAAATAAGGAGCTAAGAGGCTGGGGTGCAGTTTCTGTGAACAGTGGGAGAACCACTTCCAACTAGTCTCTCTCTGCCCTTCCAGTCCATCATTTTTTTGGGGTTTCTAGGCATTGGTGGATCTGCAGCTACATACCGAAGCCCAGGTTCAGATTGTGCAGAGCTGGAAAGAACTGGCTGACTTCGCCTGCACATTCACAAAGGCCGTGGCTGAGGCACCCTTCAAGTGAGTGTCCCCAGAATAGCCTGCTGCCTCCATGTAGGAACTTGCCTTTGAGGATAATTCTTGCAGCCATGCTAGTTTTTCCTAGCAAAAACTCAGGAGCCTGAGGCAGGAGGATTACAAGTTTGAGGCAGCCTCAGCAGCAAGACCCTATCTCAAAAAATAAAGAGAGGGGCTAGGGATATAGCTCAGTTGGTAGAGTGCTTGCCTCACATGCACAAGGCTCTGGGTTCAATCCCCAACACCATCAAAAATTTAAAAAATAAATAAATAGGGCTGGGAATGTGGCTCAGTGATAAAGTGCCCCTGGGTTCAGTCCCCAGGACCAATAAATAAAATACTCTCCTTTAGCTTACAAGCAGAAGAATCTGGTACCTTCTATAGTAATGAAAGGGACTAGTTATAGTTTTTTAAGGGAAACCACAACTAACACTGTGCTTGGAAATGAAGTAATTGCTCAAATCATTGAAGGCTCAAACTGGCCAGATATGACACTGTATCCACCTCCAGGTCACTGGACTTTTCAGTCCTTATTTGAAGGGACAAGTGTAGGACTAATGAGCAGCTCAGCTTCCCAGCTGTTATCTGCAGGACACTCCGAGATGAAAACAGCTTCTCCTTCTGCCTGGAGAGCGACTGGGCTGGAGGGGTGAAGGTAGACCGCACTGGCAGGGGACTGGCACTAGTCTGGAGAAGACAGATTCAGCAGCTGAACCGAGTCAGCCTGGAAATAGCCAGCGCTATTGTGGATACCTATCCCTCCCCAAGGCTCCTGGTAGAGGTATGCTGCTCTAGGGTCACCTAACCTGCTTTGGCCTCAGAGGGCCCCCCAGATGACTTCCATGAACAGCCCTGTTGAGGACCCAAAGATGCCGTTTGTCAGCAGTGTGGGTTGGCTTAGTTCATGCTGACCCAGAGGGACCCTGGGTTCTCATTCCCCAGACCAAGCCTGCCACCCTTTTGTTCATGGATGGAGGACAGCTGGGGATGGTACAGCATTAAGAGATCATTTACTGCTTTCAGGCTTATCAGCGGTGTTTTTCGGAGCAAGAACGCCAGAATTTGCTGGCAGACATACAGGTGCGCCGAGGGGAAGGAGTGACGTCCACCTCCCGCCGTATTGGGCCAGAGGTGTCTAGGCGTGTCTACCTTCAGATGACCAGTTTGCAGCCAGATCTCACTTTAGATAGTGCTGACTGATGCTAGTCCACAGGGACAAGGATAAAATGCTGATTTCTACCTCCTCAACCTTAGAACCTAACTGGAAGCACCTCCTGAGGCCTAGCCAGGGGGTGGCCCAGTCTCTCCTTACTTGTCGTATTCCCTGTGAACTCAGGGCAGAAGGCCAAGACATTTGGTTCTGCTCTTCTCCCAGCAAAAACAGCTGTTACCCCTGCCCCAGCCAGCCCTCAAAACACAAAAGAACAAAGACAGACCACTCAGACATGGATTTAATAATTGTAGAAATCCAAAAGAATCAGCATCAAATCTCGAAGTCGGAGTGAACTCTTGCCTGCAGGTTGGCTCAGCCACTGAGCTGCCTCAACCGGCCAAAGGAACTATGATAACTAGGCTGACTTCTGTATTTTCGTAATCTCATTGTTATGTATTATGTGTTAAGTTTCAATAAAGCATTTTATACCAATGGCTCTGGAGCTTGGAGGAAGACTAAGGAATGTGTAGTGATTCTGAGTAAGGTGTGGACCTGCGTGGCACAGCTACCTTGGGGGAGGAGAGAGCAAAGTCCTTTCTTCCAGTACCAAGACAGTCATGAGTGATAGAACTACCCTGGAAGGGGCACTAGGGCTAAAAAGCTGGACTCTGCCCTCTGTCTCTAAACTATAGCAGGTTCTTGCTCCCTATGGGAAGAGGCAAGGAGCTTGCGATTGGGTTTTCAGTGAATGAGCACCGAGACATGGTCCTTCTGATCCCTTCATCCAGCTGTTGTGAAAAGATGAAGCATAGGCAAGAAAATGTTTAATTTAGCAGCCAAGAGAATGGATGGTACTGCCCTAGTTTGTGCTAGTCTTTAGTTTTATGCACCACTTTTCAGCTCCGTTGTTGCTACTTATTTCCCTTCATTTCCTACAGTTTGCATTCATTCCTTCCCTTCTGTTATAGGTCTAGAATCAAACAATTCTGAACCTCAGTGTCTATGAAGCTGAGTGTTCAGGTTGCCTCTGAGGTATTTAATCACACCTAGTGCTAATGGAGCTGTCACAGACAATGCAGCCTTGCAGAGATCCACCTCCTCATTTCCTGGCAATCAGGGAGTTAATGCTCTGAACCTGAGGCAAGGAGCAGGCCTGCTGCCATTTTGTGGAAGCTATTTAAGTTAGGGCAGGACTCCACAGGAGCTGCCCAAGACCCTGATGGCGTGAATAGAGTCATGACTCTGTCTACTGTGAAGTATCTACACCTTGCCTGAGACAGAATTCTGGTGTGGGTTCTGTTCTCTCTGAACTTTACAAAGGAAGCCAAATGATGTCAAGGAAAGAAAGAATACCAGAGTGGGAGTCTAGTTCTACCTTACACTATCTGGGAGACTGGGCGAGTTATGGAAGGCCTCAGTTCCTCTGCCTACAAGTGTTACATGGGGCTGAGGGTTGTGAAGTCCCTTTCACAGCCAGAGGTTTTGATGGTCAATAAAATGTTGAATGTCTCAAGAGTTTTTTTTTTAGGAAATAGGTAACCCCCTCCCCAATTTTGACTGGATTTACTGAATGTGGTGGTCCCCTAGTCCCCAGTAACACACTGCCTCCTGATCTGCCTGGGCTACCCAGGGAGGAATGAAAGAAAGGGTTTGTGACATACAAAAGTATAAATGTAGTGACAGCTGACCATTTAGTAGAAACAAGCCTTGCCTTTACACAGCTTAGTACAATAACTAGAAAAGGCTGTTTTCTCTCTCCCCACCCCCAAGCCTATTCCTTTAGGCATGCAGGTAACTATCCCTCCCCACCTCCCATTTCTTCTCATTCCACCAGGGAACCCTGACTAAGGAACAACAAGAAGTCCTACAAAGGGGAGGTCTCAAGTACCAACTGGAAGCCATTTGATGATGGCAGGTAGGTCTGACGCTAAAAAGGTTGTGTCCAGCAGAAGCCAATTCCACAGGAATCCGAGCTCCAAGGCCGGGAGGCAGCAGGTGCGGAGGACAAGCTCACTGCTGGGAGTCGGTCTGCAGGACCCACTGGAGGATCTCGTGGCGGCGCAGACCCTGCACAGCATTGTCGTAGATGGTGTTCACACTGGTGCACAGGGGTTGCTGCTGCAGTGCTGTCACCCGACACGCAACCAGCCCACCGGCCACACACAGCAGCAGCAGCGGCAGCAGCAGCTTCAGCACAGCCCAGGACCGAGTGTGTTTCCGGGGTGGTGGCTTGCGGGGACGGGAGCCAGACTTAGATTCTGGAGAGATAATGTCACAAGAGACAAAATGAAGTTCTGTTAGTTTGAGGAGACCCACTGTCTTATAGTCTATGCAAGTCTCCCTGCAGATAGATCCACTCAGCCACTCCTCGAGACCTGAGGAGAAAGATGTCTTATAGATATTAGAGCTCTTCAAGACTCTGCTACACAGAGACCATAACATAAATGTCTCATCCCTGGGATCTCAAGGGACTACCCTGGAAACTGGAACTCATTCTGCGTGACTCCTGTAGCTCAGACCCCAGGTTCCTACTCTCCTTAGTAACATGAAGATGGTCCAAGCCCCTTGGGAGCAGGAAGGGCTTATCAGAGGGTGTTCAGCAGGGATAGACTACTGCCCGTTTGGGAACAGAGTCCAGATTTACTAATACTGTGAATGTCATCATTATATAATACACGTATGAAAAACCTAAAAGGTAATACAATATATCACTTGTAAATAGCAATTACTACTGGGAATGTATTATAGGTGACTGCTGTTTTCTGAGATTATATCATTTCTAAATCTCTGCAATGAACACATATTATTTATAATCAGAAAAAATAAAAAATAGGCTTTAGGATGTCAGCCCTAGAGAAAGTGAGACTCCCTGCTCCACGGTGCTCTAGGACACAACTGACACACCCATATGTGGCACTGGGAAACGAGCCAGCCAGCACCAGCTCCCCCAGAGAGTCCTCCATTCCCCGTGGCCACACTCTTCAGACACCCACACTACTCCCAGGTATGAATGCAGTTTATGTAACTGGTCTGTGAGCTTGCTCACTCATTCATGCCTGAAAACATGCACATGTCTGCCCTGGGCTGCCACTTTGCCCAGACAGCAAACTTACTGGGGGCTTGATTTGCTTCCTTTTTGGGCTTCTTCTCCTGCTCCCGCTTGGAAGCTTTGAGAGCATCATACTCCTTTCGCCGACGCTCCTTCTCTTCTGCCTTTTCGCGCTTCCGCAGTTCCCGCTCCTGAGCTTCCTTAGCTCGCTGTTTGGCCTCCCGCTTCTTCTCTGCCTCTACAACAAAATATACCCAAACATGACTCCTCTCCCACCAACCCTCCAGCAGCCTGCTGTCCTCAATAATTAAAAGCTAGAATTCAGCTGCCTTTTGCTTTATGCCATGGGTCACATAAGAAATAGAAAAAGGAGGACTGGGGATGTAGCTCGGTGGTAAAGCACTTGCTTATTAGCACTCGTGAAGCTCTGGGCTCCGTCACCGCACTGCAGCAAAAACAAAGAAACAAAACCCTCCAGAAATAGAAAAAGGAACCAGCCATCATTCTACTCTCTAGGAAGTAAGCTCTTGCTAAAAATCTCTCTCAGGGCTTGCTGAAGGGATTATTAAGGGATACCCTGTCCACAGGCAGGAGAGATTGGAGTGAAATAACAAAGGGAACTAAGACAAGCACAGGTGACAGGTCTGCATTTCTCTAGAATTAGGTACTACTTCAGAAGGCAGAGCAAGCCAGGCCTGGTGGTGCACCCTGTGATCTCAGCACATAGGAGGCTGAGGCAGAAGGGTCACTTGAGCCCAGCCTCAAAAAAAAAAAAAGCAAATGGCAGAGCAGTCAACAACCTCCTAGAACTTAGCCATGAAGAGAAGGAACAATGAAAGGGTTGCTCCTATAGGACTGCTATCTTCCCACACTTTAGAAATCAATGTAGCATGGGGAGGAGGGCAAGTAAGAAGACCATGATCACTCACATTTAGAGTTACAGCTAACAGCAATGTTTTTCTAAAGTGACAAATGATTTGTCAGTTATCTACCAACTTGGGAATCTATGTTCCATTTGCTTAACAGCTCAAGTATGCTTACATGTGGCACTCAACTTCCAAATTACTGGGTTCTAAGACTGCATTTCCAAATCAGTTATTTGGAAGCCTAAAATACATTTTTTCCAAAGCCCGAATGCCACAAAATGGTAGTTAAATGTCCTTTTAGGACTTTAAAGCCTATCTGAATCATAATGTAGCTGAACAGCAGTACTGTAAGTACGAGAACTTTCCACTGCTTCTCTACAGCCACACCAGCTCCACATTCTGGCTGAGCACCAAGAATGCCAAGAACCCACTACAGCTAGCTTCAAGAGAATATGCACCATCGAGAAGCGAACCAGAGGGGGTCAGAGTGAACATGGGCTTGTCTGCCATGGTGGCTGGGCATGGAGAAGGGACACTATTACTTGGGCATTGTGAGTTCAGGGACTGCCCGTAGTCAGTACTGCAGGCACCCCTTCTGTAACCATGTAGTCCTTGGTAAGGGGACCAAAAGTCAGCCAGTCAGCAGAACATACTACATGCCAGGCACCGTTCTGAGTCCTTGAGGTGCATCAGTGGAAAAGGCAGGGCAGGTTCTAGCACCTGCACAGACAGAAACACACGATCCATAAGTGAACGCAGTAAAAACAGATAGATGTGCCACCAGGTCAACAGAAGAGGTGGGGGAAGGGTGGCAAGTAGGATGGCTACTTGAGTTTGGGTGCTCTGGCAAGGGTTGAGGGTGACCTTACAGCAACACTGGATCAGACATGAGGGATCACAGGAAGCAAACCAGGAGCCAGCTGAAGGAAAGGAACCAAGCAAAGCCTCTAAGGCAAGGCCACAGTTAGTGTATCCAAGCAACAGAAGAGGCCCCAGTGGCTAAGTTGATGGCACTGCGTGGCAGGCAACATTAGGCCAAGGTGGCCTGTGGGTCACAACACCTGAATTTGGACTTCATTCTAAATTCAATGGAATGTCATTAGAGGGTACAGTAGCACTGCTTATTTAAAAAGATCCCCCCAAGAGCTGGAGGTATAGCTCTAGGTTAGAGCACTGCCTAGTATGCACAAGGCCCTGGGTTCAATCCCCAGCACCACACAAAATAAATAAGAACAAAAATAAAAAGATATCCCAGGCTGCCATGTGAGGATGAGTTTAATGG